CGGGTTATATTCTCTGGGCATAGTGACCCAGGGCGCGGGGACCGGAATGGAAAGGGAAGCGGCACCCTAGCCCTAACCCTCATAAGGCGAGGGGTGGGGCGATGCGACCCCTCTCCCCCACCTTCCGAAGGTTTTTTGAGGATGTCTCTCCGGCTGCCGTGTAACCACGTCAAAATTTCCGGTAGCTTTAAAAATGGAGCGTGTTTCGGTAGCCAGCGCGCGTGTTGTGGCACCAAAATGTATCTGTTCGTGAGAACCAGAAAGGTATTACGGACACACGAAGGGAAGAATGTGGTCGGGAGCAAATTTGGCTCCTCGGAAGCCTGTCTCCATTGGAATGATGTTTCTAGCCGCTGCGGCCGTCAAGGCACCGGCCGGCGATAGCGGCCAACCGGCCATTCTCACCTTGCTAGGCTGTGACAAGCAAACCAGCATCGCGTTGTAACTGAGGTGGCATTCTCTCAATATGCACCAAAAATCGATCGAAAACAGCTTGCACATGCATGCCTCTTTGAAAAAGCAAGGAAGTGGTGCAGATTTTTTTCCTCGACCCTGATGCCTGGTTAACTTTGATAAAACATAGTATTTGCCTTCCAGCTCCGGATAATTTTTTGCAATGGTCCCATGGTGTTAGTGGTGGCTAACAGCCCAAAAGGCGTTCATCTCTTCTTGCCCACATCCATTTGCTCCCTCCTCTCCGCAAGTTCCCGAGCTCCTGTAATGAAGAGGAAGGGAGCAGAACGCTTCGCAGGAAGTGCTTATGTTCTAGAACTCAGCTCTGCCAGAATCCCATCGTAAGTTCAGCGAACGCCAACTATCCCATTCTGACTCACGCGTCCGCGCTCGCTTCGAATAAGTGCTACTTCTCGTGTATCTCCGGCTGGAGACACACGACACGCGGCGTGCAGCCTCCGGCTTGGGGAGCGGCGCTAATCTGGTGCGGTCCTGGATCGGCACGGCGACGCGCTCCGTAATTGGTCCCCGCTCAGCGGCTGATGACATCCGTAATTGGTTACCGCCCCGCGCGGCAGCGGCGGCTGGGCTGGGGCGGCCGATCCCGATGAGACCAGGCTCGGCCACCAATAACCGCCGAGCGGGGAACAAAGGGGCTTGCTTGACCGCCAGCGCCAGCGCCACGCGGCCCGGGCAGCGGTCTGGGCCGCAATGGCCTGCCACTCACTGCACGTCTGTGAAATGAGCTGTCTGCTTGGGACCGGGAGCTTTCGTAATAAACGTTCGGTAAACAGTGGCCTCGCTTTCCGCGAACAAACGCACCATCGTTTAATGACTCAGCGAACATTTCATCAGCGTTATTTTTAGTCATCGGACAGAGGGATGGACAATGATCCTGAACACCAATTGCAAAGGATTTCGTCGCAGGCTTTTCAGTTAGATTTTCTCGTTGATATCTGTTTTCGGTGAGGTTAAGCAGCCAGCTCAACATTGTAGGAGTGCATGTGGTGCATTTAAGTAGGAACCATCCGTGCCGCAATTTTTGTACTCGTGATTTCGACCAATCTATTGGCACAGTTTCTAGAAGTTGTCCAAACATTACATTCATTTCAACTTATGTGCCATTTTCATTTTCAAAAGATGGCGAGTTCGGGAAATTAAAGTGCATTTCAAGCTTCATCATTTGAAAATACTGCTTGTGACCGGCCCCCAGCGCTCCCCCCCCCCCTCACAAAAGTTACCGCAGCAACTGTGAACACACCAATGTGACAATGTAACGGGCCTTCGTAGCTCCAGTTTTTCGAGACTGGCTTTTGTGTGACGGAACCGAGGTGAAACCAACCGCGTATAGCAATGGTCAAGTATTGAACTGAGTAATGATCCGAGAGCATTGTTTCGGATCTGACTGAAGCCTGCGTTGCGTCTTGCTACGTTTTCTTGATCTTTGCCCGAATCCTAAACTAACAGAACGTTCAAGGTCGAGTCTGATTCATGTTCATATTAAGCGACGGGTCAGATTCATGTACATTAAGTCTTGAGTCTGAGTTAGCCTATGACGAGCTCTTGGCCTTTCAAAAGTGAAATGGTTTACCTCGATTTTAAAGTATCAAATGTGGATGAGTCTAACAAAGAAGTCCAGGAGAAGCAATACAGGAGCACAGGAGGTACAAACACGCGAGTACAAACACATCCATACAAAACACCCATCACACAGCCTCATCGTCTCCCAATAGCTCTCCTATTCAACAGGTGCGTTCTCGCCGCGCGTCATGTTGCTGACTGTGCATCACATCATGCTGGCGCATAGTACCAGAAACGTGTTCTACCGGCCTCGGTTCTCGGCTAGGAGGTGCAGGAGCCTATCCTGCCGAGTGGGTCGCACAAGTGCATCGCGGTTTAGGACAAACAGGCCAGCACATCAGGCTCGTAGTGAGGCATTACCTCGTGAGCCAGTGTGACCACTTGGAGTTCTGCCATATGTCGAGGCAACATCCAGCGGAGCGTCTCACGCAGGTCAGAGACATGGTCAAATCTACGTGGGCTAAACATATCCTGCCGGCAAAGTTTAGGATCTGTTGGATTCTATCAAACGTTGTCAGTCTGCCACTATAATAAACCGTGAGACAGATCTGACCTGCGGTAGCTGGCTCCAATCCAGCGAAAACTGATGCAATTGGACAGATTGGCACACTGACTTACACCCGCGTTGAGAAGGCGGTCACGGACTGCTGGAGATGATTCACTACAGCACGTCAGATACCATTACCGACTGTCACTTCCCCCACCTTGAACGGAATGTTCCACGTTTGAAGATATTGGAACAAGCATGGTGTAAAATTAAATAAGCTTTCTTGTAACTATTTTCATACCTAAGTGGAGAAGACTGCTGCTGACAACACAGTTTCCCTCCTTAGTAAATATGGTCCTCGATGCGTCATTGTTTGATCGTGTCGTCGTAACTTGCGCAACATTGGCTGAGAGCCAATTGAGGACCACTATACCTGCGAATCGTGCTCATGAACGTCAGATGTGAACGACTCGACACTTATCTTCTCTTGGTCTTGATCGCCGCATGGCCGATGTAATGCCAGGATTTGAATAACGTTATGGCGTCATGCATGCCTAGATGACCTTGAAATATTCTGCGCGAAATAGTCTGCACATCTTCGTGGGCTTGTAGCTAAAATGCTAGAGGGGTTTAGGTCTCAGAAAGGCATGGCTGTGAACTGCAACCGAATGATCTTCGAGAAGGGCATTTATTTCAGTTCAACATCCCACATAAATGTGGAACACTTCCCTTAACTCCCACCAATCAGATACCAAGTGCAATATCCTGACCGTTCCATCACCGAAAGTTGAGCAATGCTTGAGATAAGCTCCGGATGTGATACGCTTTGTTTGGATTCCCAACCTGTTCCCGACCGTTACCCAATATTTCCCCAAGCAGTGTGTTCGGAGCGTTCCCCGAGGTACCCATGGCGAACACACCCTGGAAAAATGCCTGCTCACAGTTGAATTATGCAACATTTTCCTAAACAGCCGGACATAGGATTACTTGCCCACCCCGAGCAGCCCATGCCGATGACGCACTGAGAATCACTTCCCAAGCCAGTCCCAAATCTACCTCCCGGAAAACCCCCTCAAAATCCGAGCATTGCCCAAGCATTTTGGAGAAACTTGGGCATCCCAAGCTTTTAGTAACCCGCTCTCAACACATTTCCCAGCTACCCTGCCGCCTGAGTTGAAGCTGTTGTCTGGTCCGAGACCTGCGGAAGAAATCGGACGTGTGGCGCGCATCCCATTTCTCCCTTTTCAACCGCTTGCTTTTGAGGTTGCGGGGAAAACGTTTGTCAATTTAATAGACCAGGCCCATATGTATTTAAGTTTGTATTATGGCGTATAATTCAGAACCGTTAATATGTGCGCTGGACCCCAAACTATGTGTAATGCAAGGGCTTTCTGCTAAAAACATTGCTTGGGACCTGTCCTTACGCTGCCACCTCGCTGCGGTGTCAACAGTAGGTGTAACAGTCTTATCAGGTGTACAATATCGAGTATACGCTCCTGCAGAATGTGCCTAATCTCTGCATTTCTGGCTAGGTAAGGTGGGAATTCTGGCTGGTGGTGAGGCTGCGTTGCTCTCTCGCTCTCTCTATCCTCTCTCTCCTCTCCTCGCCTCCTCGCCATCGTCGCCAATCCTCTCCTCTCGTCGTCCTCACTCTCCTCTCGTCTCTCTCTCTCCATCTCTCTCACTCTCCCTCTCTCTCTCCCCCTCCTCTCTCTCTCTCTCTCTCCACTCCGCACCTATCTCCGTCCCGTCTCTCCCTCTCTCAACTCCATCATCTCAAACAAACCCTCTCTCTCTCTCTTTCTTTCTACCTACGTCCTCCTCGTGTTCCATGTGCCTTACCATCTTTCTTCGCTTTAAGATAAGACCCTGTTGGTCGATCGGAAACATCGAACTCGATGAGCAATCCCTTTGTCTCCTTGATACCTACGCATGGCCCTCCTAGCTCGTGCCTCGTGCGATGTTTCACCCTTCATTCTCAGCTACGGGTGGCCCAACCAAACATGCACCGCCGTTTATCGGAAGTTTGAGCCGGTTTGGCCAACTAGCTTATTCGATTCCCCTTTCTGTGAGGTACGTCAAACATGAATATCGTTTATGTGCGCTGACTTACATCTATCGATCGCCATCGCAATAATGAAGACACGACCTTATGCTTTGCACAAAGCACTATCATCAGGCATGCCACGATCTTCTGATAAACACACACAAAGAATCGAATAAAGGTTGATGGGCGCTGGCACGCACCCATTACTACAACATCCCAGCAAAACAACACCCAAGTCATGCATTTTCGGAACGCATTGGCGTAGCGGATCCAGACTATTCTGGTCGAACGCCCGTGATCCCTCTCGCGGGTCTCCAGCTCGGCGTACCGACGCGGTGGCCCACGGCTGATTATCCGTGATCGGCCAGCTCACCGGCACTGATCCGAGATCGGCTAGCTCACCGGGCACTGATCCGAGATCGGCCAGCTCACCGGCACTGATCCGTGATCGGCCAGCTCACCGGCACTGATCCGTGATCGGCCAGCTCACCGGCACTGATCCGTGATCGGCCAGCTCACCGGCACTGATCCGTGATCGGCCAGCTCACCGGCACTGGGAGGACAGACGAGGCGACGGAGCCTGCTGTCGGCGTCCTCCTTCCGGCCCGCGCTCTCGACACACCTGCCTCCGCCGCCGGGGACGACCGACTGACCCGGCCGCGTCGGCACCGACGACCTCAGGGCCGCCCCCTCCCTCGCGCGGGGCGGCGCCGTCGCTTTGTTACCGGCCGGTGGCAGTGGGTAATAGCGGACACGATAGATGGGGGCGTCCGTATCGGCGACCGGGGCGTGCTATCGCTCATCGGCGGCGGGGCTGATGGATTGGAGGCGGCCGCGGCCGGGCCGGGACAAAGGCGGACGGACGGCCGCCGCCCGCCCGCCTCAGAAGGCTGGCAGATCAGGTCATCAACGTCTCCCCATCGCACACCAGTGGACACCGTGGAGGAGCTTCGGGACGGGGCGTACCATGCGCTCTACGGTCGACGCTGCACCGGCTCATAACTCAGTCAGGCTAGCATGCTAAACTTGACCCCGTGGCCAGGTATTCTCTCAAACGTGGGATCGTTCTGCCGCAGCCGCTGAGCTGAGGGAAATTACTGCTCTTAGCGCACCGTTAGCATCATGACGTTGCGAACTGTAGACAAGAATGCCCGTGCCCGTAAAAGCGGTCAAACACCTGAAGGATTATATTTTTTTTCGTTACGCTGAACTTAAGAACGGGGTAACGCAACTTAATTTACATAAACCTAATTCGTAATTCAACCTTAACATCACTAGGTGCCTTAACTTATGCTATCGTATTCCAGTCGTGGTGTATTAAAATGAGGGAAGGTGGCTGCGATGCAAGAAAAGAGCCCAAAAAAGTCCGTTTACCGAACGTCGTGCCGTCTCTTTGACCTCCACCCACCGCTACAGCTCAGACTGCTGGCTATTTTAAGCAGAATCTGCAGAGGCCGGAACGGCAGTGCGCTCTGTAGCCTCAGATGCAGACGGGATGATGCAGAAAAAGCTCGCATAATGCCAGCCAACCTCGCGTGCGCGTCATTCTCGCTCTCAAGCAGTGTCGGATTTCCGGTCACAAAAATGCGTCGGAGGTGGCCACGGCAACGGCCATCTGCAGCGTTGCCCGGTGACCTCTCAGGCCAGCGTGAGCAGTGACGACCCTAATGACGAGCGCAGTGATATGGGTCGTAGGAGCTCTGCAGTCGAGCATGTTATCATATGTGCGATTCCCGGCACCCGATGCCGCCAGCGTTGCGTTACGTTGCCTTCGTGAGATGAGAGCACGAGGCGGACTGTGTTGACCTAGTGAAGCTTACAATGCGATTCAGTCCAACAGATGTCAAGTGGACTTGATTGGCAGCGGTGTTTAAGGTACAGCGTTGGATTGGGACGTTTATTAGCATTTCATTGTTGACTAGGAAGCACTCAGGTGGGGAGTTTGACTCCGGGGATTTTTCCGGAATAATTTGCGAACGACGTGACGTATTCACGTCAAACGCTGCATAGCTGTATGCAGTTGAATGTCGAATATTTTGGTATGCAACATTAGGTGCACCTTATGAGGCATGTAACTTATGGCAGGTCAAACGCAGGCCGTGGCTGTCAGCGAAGGTCAGTTCTGGCGAATCGCTAAATGCGACGCGACAGCGGACTGTAAGACAAAGCCATACATATTTGATATAGCTTCTTAAATAATAAGACAATGAAATTTAGGATTACATTAGATTCTTTTGAAATTGGGGTCAGGTTTGAAGGTCCGGTCAAATCAAAACAGACCAACCAGACTTTACCGGGGACTCGAGAACAACGTCTGAATGACGAGTGCGGTAGTCGACCGTCCGCATCTTTTGTTCGTTACAAATGGTGTAGATGACAGCACAACATGATAAAATATTACATCAGTTTGTCCAGTCTGACCTTGAGACGGAGTAAATTCATCTTGTGTGCTGATCCAGCACAACTGGAACCGCACTTACTGAATTTGATGCAGTAAGCACCTATTTGACACCAGCTCTGAAATAAAACAGGCCAGGGCTCAAGAGTCAGTGCTCGTAAAGCCGTGTTGCCGAGAGTTCGGGAAAATGAAAGAGGGTTCGGGAAAATGATGACTTATAGTTTTATCGTTTTCAGCAACTGTTTTAAGAGAAAACTCATGAAAATGAATCGGGTAAAATGAGTCAAGAAGGACTTCACAAGAGTTTGCCATCATCACCAACATTTTCCATCATCACAAACAAGGTCACTAACTTGTAGACCCGCACCCGACCGGGAGAAGTCGACTCCGCCGACGGATTTCCGAGGACACCTAAAAAATCGACGCTTGCAGCAACACGAATTTTCCAGTATCTGTTCATCTATCAAGTAGGGATCCCTTGTGCGCATTTGAAGTTTTGATCTACCAAGATCAGTGATCCAAGGTCAGGTCAAAGAGGTCAGGCTCTAAAAACTTTGACCGCACATAAGTTTTGTGAGTCGTTTTCACATTCCAAACCCGTTGCAGTAATAGGACATCATAGCGCGTATAGTTTGAATACTTCAGATTTTTTTATAAAAAGCGAAGTCAGCGAGACGAAATCGGGTCAATTTTCGCTATTTTTCATAACTAATACAAATTTGTACGTACTCTTGTGTAGTTTTGGTGCTTGCATATGAGTAAACAGCACTAGCTTACATGCAGAACCATCTTATGACCACAGAGCACATGACCTTGGTGCAGGCAATGACCTACCTCTTTGGGCACCTGCTGCAAATCGCATGCTGAACTCCAGTTAGGCAGTTCTTGTGAGAACTGTTGGACGCAGAATTCGAATACTCCACTGAAAACACGTTGTGATATCATTCTCATGCATAATGAGGGCACGGTAGGTCATGTGCGCACATACAAGGCCATTTGAGGCAATCTAAAGTCAGTGACCTATGCTGCTAATAGCGGAGAGGCTAGATGGATGAGTGCCACGCGTGTGACGACCTCCTTATTGTGCTTGTGAAATTGATGGCGTATTATTTCATGTACCAGCGTACCTGTTCTCAGTTTGCTACAAATACGTTGACAAGCGTCGAAGGGACTATGTATAATGCAGACTACAGCCATGTTATCTTGAGTACCCGTAGATGTGCAACAAACTATCTCTGACCACGGAAAAGCATTGCACTGGTCACGTAGACCTGTTAAGCACATCAATTTTGTATTGGGAAGTATTATAAGTTCGATCTAAGTTGACCACAGCTGACCACTACGTAAGACTAAAACAGTATTTTTGTGTCTGAAATGCTTATGTCCCACAGATGCACCTAATAAAGCAAACTTAGTCTGAAGCACATTGTGAAATAATTTTGTTCTTGTAGGCTACTGGTAGACCAATTTTGGATGCTGACCCGATCTGACCTGACCCATGTGGGAAAATAGAAATGGTCAGAATAGACTGTATCTGCAACCGTCTCTGTAGCAACGACGGTTTTTTATCTCTCGTGGCCTCTGGTTACCTCACATTTGACCTAAGGTCGCACGTTTGGTGTGTATTCTTTTTTATTTGATGATACCTTCAATGCAGTGTCTTTGTTTTTCTCATACGGCGTCTTGAAATTGGGAATTCCAGGGGGGAATTCAACTTTCTTCCCTCCCGGCCGGGCGTGGCTGCCTCAGACCCCAGGCCTGGCACGGGTCAAATTGTCACAGATACACGGAACTGCCGTGCGAAACTGAAAACATGGGTAAAGACATTTCACCTGAAGCACAAAGTGGGAAATTTTGCAAACCCACCGACAGTTCCCAGAGGAGAACTTCGCTCAACTGGGTGCGGTAGAAGTTTGTAATGAATCCCACACGGCTTGCCGGTAAAAGCATCGTCTCGCGCTGTTTCAATCATTGATGTAGCCCCGTCAAGGAGTGGGTGTGTCGGAGCCACATAATCTATGGACAACAGCTCCGGGTCAACGGCATGATCGAGCTCAGCCGCGAAAGTGCGAACCCGGATCACAAGGTAACGACTTCGCGATTTATGATTGATTCATGATTCATGATTCTCGCGAGCATGATTTCAAGGCGCGCGCTGGAACATCAACACATGAAAACGTCTACGCCAGGAAAAATGTGTCCATTCATGTTAGAACAGTCTTATTTCCTTATTCATGGAAATCCTCAAAAGGCGGGATGGACGCGTCCCCTCCCTCTCTCCCCACATACACACTTGTCTGCGTTCGTTAATCCAGTACAATAATAATGATGACAGCACTTGTGTGCAGTAATTTGTGCAGCCGAATTTAGCACAAATTCAAACCATATGTTCAGATTATTCGTCAGATTGACAACGGCACCGCACTCGTGAACGAACTGTTCACATCCGCAGGGGACTTTTGGAAACGTAACGGCTCACGAAGGATCGAAGGAAGGCGGGTGCTGTCACGGAAGCCATGATAGAACATTTGTCCACTGCTCACTTTGACATCGTAATCATCGTTCCTCGGCTGCGTCGACAACATGGCGGGATAGTGAACATATAAATTGTGGACGCAGTTAATGAAATGTTCGCCGGAGCAAAACATTGAGAGGGACAATTCGTGCGTTTTACTCATAGCTCATCTGCCATCCACCGACGTGCACACTATCTGCGCATAATCCTGTAGCTTGTTTTGAAAACTAAATGACTCAAACTTGTTTCATTTCAATTCGTAGGCATACTTTTTATCTACGACACAGCTGATAAAATCTGCAAAGCGAAACAACGCTTAGAACACAGGTTCAACAAACGCACGAACGCTGAAGAGAGCGTTCAGCTACAGTCCTCATTAGCCCTAGGGTAACACAACTCAGTTGCAGTTGCACCAATGGCCATGACCACTCGAACATCCAAAGTAATCCCGTGACGGATAAATGCAGTGCGAAAAAATGAAATGTAGCGATTTAGTCGTAAAAACCCGCAGTGCGGTGTGAGTAACCAACGATTTGAGCCTGCTTGCTTTAATTTGTTGCATTTACACAAACCGA